ATATTTACCAAGGATTGACTTGCAAGGCGCTGCATGGTCTTGATGCGAACGTCGATCTGCTTGAGAGTGAGAAAAGCAGCAAGGTTAGCCGTGTATGCTGCAGTAATGATCAGGGTACAGAACCAGAAGAACGCCACAATGGTCCTCATGGATGTAGTCTGAGGCGAGAACTCGGTAGCACCTGCAAAACAAATGATGAAAGCTTTATGTAAGTAAAAACTTGCACGCATAACTTTCAATACTGAAACTTGATAAGAAAATTGAAATGTTCATTTGTCAGATATTGTAATAATCTGACACAGCGTTTCAGATTTAAGGGATATGCAAGTGATTTAAATTGTTCATGCTTTCAGTAACGACACTTGAAAGAAAAATACCACTTCATGTTAATTGTTCATAAATTAGATATCGCATTAGTATTACATACAGCGATGCGAAGTCGTAAATCCGGGCATACCAACAAAAATTAAAATCACTCAGATCGGGTTACATTGTTTGCTATTTGATGCTCTGTTGTATGTTGTTTTATGAATTATGTCATCATGAATTTGTAATATTATTAACAGACAATCAAAGACGATCGAATGGAGTAATAGGAGTTTCAAATGTTTCCCATCTCCAATGAGTTCCATGTACTACCTAACGGAAAATAAATCAGCAGCATTTCTAAAATATGCATGTATATATTACCTTGTAAGATGACGTTCAGAGAATACCACATGCTCTCCTTGAGATCAAACTTCTGCTCAGCCGTTCGCTGAGTAGTGTCGTACTTCGTCATGAGGAACAGAGACAAACCCACGATCAGGAAGAAGACCACTATCATGAACCAGAGGCCTATGTCGAAGGGCCAAAGGAACTGGAAGAAGGTGGGCTGTAGAGGCGGTCTCTTCAGCAGCATGCTAACAGAAGAGGACAGGATGGTGTTGGAGAAGGAGATCCGCGCCACCCGCTTCGACTTCACTACCAGGTCACCTATCGCTATGGCGGCATCCTGGTAAATCATGATTGTCATATTATTGTTTAACAATTTATTTAGACTCTGTGCATTAAAAAATAATATTGGCATAACTCAAATAAATGGACAACTGTAAAGGCCTATTCAGAATTGTAAATTCATTTATCTGATATCCTAACAATTAAAGAATACTGATGACTCGTTTGTCTTGTACCATCGTTAGCATACTTTCTTTACTAGTTCTGAATAAGTAAATCTTTAATCGCCGTTTCTGTATAGGACTTGCTTATCCCTTCATGTAGGGGATGTCCTCCCACGTTTTGACTTGAACTTGCCTGACCTTTAGTATGTCGAACATATCCTCCCACTGTCAGTCTTTTACTTGGACAACTATTCGTTTGTCAATTGTATCCTCAACTCTGTCTCGGTTACTCTCTTCGACAATTAGTTTGTGTAGGATTGTCTTGGCTACATTTTTTGGTGTACCCTATCTTTTACCAAATTTGAAAGGTGCAGTCACATATGTGTGTGTGTGTGTGTGTGTGTGTGTGTGTG